CCCCAAAACCCCAAAACCCCAAAACCCCAAAACCCCAAAACCCCGAATTGTCTCGATGACATTGAAAAGGGAGGTTTTACCTAAAGCTATATAATTAAATTCAGATATCCAAAAATGTCTTTCAAAAAGAATACAAGATCGGATCTGGATGACAACCTCATTAATCGTACGGAGAACACCGAGGATTATGAGAGTGAACTCCAGAAGAGGTCTAGTTTGACACGTACTGGAGCCAACGGAGTTGGCCCTAGTAAGAAGAATCATACTTACAAGGTTGTGCTTCTCGTCGGGCTCGCAATCCTTGCAATTTCTTTGTTGATAGTAGTCATTGTGACACTTTCATCATCAAAGAGCGGTATAGAAGATGAACAAGAGCATAACATGTTCAAAGGTAGTCTATTCCTAAAATTTTAACGATCTATCTCATAACTAAAAATTCTGCAATTTTCTGAGATACTATTAGACCATAACTCCCTAAAAATAAATTGATGAAAACTAAAGATTTTCCTAATTTCCTAAAAGAGTGCTGCTTGGTTACTGAATAAATAAATACTAATCTTATCTATAGCCATTGGCATTGAGAAAAGTTTAAGGAAGGTTGTAGTCCAGCTCGAAAGCAAATACAAAAGTAAGTATCCAGTTTTTACAAATAAGCATTCACAAATGTTAACAATTTCTTAGGCAAAACTGGCAGGTTTACAAACCTGAAGGCAGGAGAATGAATAGATGCATCCATTGGAGAAGGCAAAGTATGAGAAAAAGAAAACAATAAGTTTGCAGATGACGTTACTGCTGAGTTCTCGGTGTTAGGAACAGGCATTAGTAGGTCCTTCTTCTGGGATACTAATAATCCTCACAGATGGAATCCTGCCCATGTTGATGGGTTCTTGGGAGATATTGGAGAGGATGAGTTAAGCATGCTTGACGGAGTTGGCTTTGAAACAACTGATGAGACGAATTTTGGATTCAAACTCACTGATGTTGTCTCAAACAAACCAGTCTTTGACTCTACAAAGAGACCATTGATCTTTACTGATAAATATTTGGAGATAGGATTTACTTTACCAACTCAGACTTTATTCGGATTAGGGCAACACAACTCTAAATTCTTGCTCTCAGAAGGAGAGTGGACTATGTGGAACAGAGATCAGCCAGGTAGCCCCAAAGCTGAAGGAGAAGGTAAACAGCAACTGTATGGCACTCACCCATTCTTGATGTTCAAAACATCTGACAACAAATTTGGAGGAATTCTCTTCTACAACTCCAATGCTCAAAATATTTTGATTAGATTCTCTGAGACAGGAAAAGCATTGATTACTTACAGAACTGTTGGAGGAATCTTGGATATTTACCATATTCTGTCTGATACAGCTGATGAGGTTATTAAGAAGTACAATGATCTTGTTGGAAAGCCAGCCCTCCCACCATTCTGGGCCCTTGGATTCCATCAATGTTCTTGGCAATACAACACAACTGAAGATTTAAAGGGAGTTTTAAATGCTTACAAACTAAAGGAATACCCAATTGATACTATCTGGACTGATATCATGTACATGGACAGATACATTGACTTCACTGTAGATGAGACAAACTTCACTGGAATTAAGGACTTTATCAACACTCTCCATAAAGAAGACAGACATTTCGTTCCAATCGTTGATGCAGGAATCAGCCTTGAACCTCCAAAGAAAGGTCCTAAATGGTATGCTGAAGGAGATAAGGCAGGAGCATTCATCAAATCTACTCAGAACCCAGGTGGTAAGTATAATGGAAACATCATTGGAAAAGTCTGGCCTGGATATACTGCTTTTGTTGATTTTATCAGCCCTGCAGGTAAAGCCTTGTGGAATAAAGGATTGACTGAACTTGACAAAATTGTTCCGTTTGATGGTCTCTGGCTTGATATGAATGAACCCTCCAACTTCTGTACTGCAGAAGACATGGGCAAGGAGAAAGACGAAACACCAATTGGAGAATGTTATCCTCAAGAAGCACCAAAAACTGATTCGTCTCTGAGAAATCTTGGAGATTCTCCTGTTGGAGTAGGAGAATTCGATGATATTCCATTCACACCTGGAGGTGAGAAATTGGACTACAAAACTTTGTCGATGGATGCTTACTTCCACGATGAGAATGACAATGGAACTTTTGTCATGTACAACATTCACAACATGTATGGAACTCTGGAGACCATTGAAACTTCGAAGTACTTAGCTTCGAGAGACAAGAGAAGACATCTCATTATTTCAAGAGACAGTTTTGTTGGACATGGAAAATACGGATCTATTTGGACTGGAGACAATGACGCCACTTACCAAGATTTGACTCTCTCTATTAACCAAATCATGAACTTCAATATGTTTGGAATGCCATTTGTTGGAGGAGATGTCTGTGGATTTGGAGGTAGTAAAGCTAACAGCACTCTCTGTGCAAGATGGGCGCAAGTCGGAGCATTCTACCCATTCTTTAGAAACCATTATGCAATTGGTAAGGAAAGACAAGAGTTTTATCAGTATCCTGATGAATACCAGAAAGGAATGAAAGAAGCTATCAGACTTAGATACTCTCTGCTCAGATACTTGTATACTTGCCTCTATATTTCATCGGATCAAGGATATCCTACCATCAGACACCCAATGTATCAGTGGCCAGATGTTGGCAAGATCGTTGAGAACGAGAACTCCTTCATGATTGGATCTGCTGTTAGAATCACTGCAAATTTCGATTTGTCTGACATCGGAAAAGAAAAAAAATTCAAGGCTCCATTCGCTAAAGGAAGATACATGGAGTACATCCACTACACCATCACTAAAGTTAAGAAAGACGTTGAAGATATTGAGCTTTACAATGGATACGATATCCCAAATATTCACATTGTTGAAGGCAGCATTGTTTCATTCCAGAGTGTTGATGGGGTCACCAAGACTCAAGACTTAATTGATGACCAACTTAGGTTGCTGATCTTCCCAACTGAGAACGGATATGCCAGAGGAAATGTATTCATTGCCAACGGAGTAACTACTGATGAGAAAGAACAATTCTTCGACATTTCACACTCCAACAAAGCCATTCAGTTCTTCTTGAGACAAGGTGTTGCTGATGATGCTACTCAGTTCAACGAAGTCATTGAAGAAATCCACATTGTAGGAGTTGAGGATGCTGACAAGGATCACTTTGTCTGCTTCATGGACACAGATGGAAACTTCAAGCCTCTAAACATTGAGTCAAAGAAAGGCAAAGATGGAGAAACAGATTACATTAGAATTTTCGGGGGAACTAATACTATTGAGTTCGACCAAACTGACACCATCTACTACGGAGTAGTAGGCAAGGATTACAACTACTGCAACAGAGGATACACTGCTAGAGTAGATTCTCAAACTACAAAAGAAATGAAGGTTACGTAAGTCAGTTTTTTATATTTATCTTAGCATCATAAAAACAACAAACCAGATGGAAAACTCAAATGATTTGAAGCTCAATGTAGCAATGGTCACAGATGGAACAATTCAAGTAACTATTACTGACGGAGAAAAGAGGTTTGAGGTACCAAAGGAAGCTCTATCACAAACCACATTCCAGACAAATGATGCAGAAGATATTAAAGACTATGTTGAAATTAGCAAACAAGGAGAAAAATTCTCTCTTAAGATTCATGAAAAAGGAGACCCAGAAAATTATTACTTTAAGATCAACGAAGACTCTCTGATCTTCTCAGACTACTATCTCAGCATGGAAACCACTGTCAATACCAATCAGAAACTCTACGGTTTCGGAGAAAGAGTCACCGACTTCTTCTTGAAAGAAGGAATATACACTACCTGGGCCAAAGATGCTACTGACCCATTCGATGATGGCAAGAAGCCAGGCAAGAACATCTATGGAACTCATCCAGTCTACTTCACCAGATCGAGCTCTCCGAACAAATACCACTGGGGAATGTTCAATCTGAACGCTAATGCTCAGGACACCAAGATTGAGTTTGTAGGAGCAAACGAAGCCAAGATCTCCCACTACATCACTGGAACTGGCATCTTCGACATGTACTTCTTCATCGAGAACAAGTCTCCAGAAGAGGCTGTGAACAAGTACCACAATATTATTGGAAACACTCTGTTACCTCCATTCTGGGGACTCGGGTGGCATCAGTGCAAGTACGGATACACTGGAACTGAAAACTTGAAGGAAGTCTACAAGAATTACACTGACAACGACTTCCCAATGGATGTCCTCTGGTCAGACATCGACTATATGGAGAAGTACAGAGACTTCACTTACGACTCAAACGGAACTTATAAGGGTCTCCCAGAATTTGTGAAAACCCTCAAGCAAGATAACAGAAGATATGTCCCAATCATTGACGCTGGAGTGGCCATTGTTGACGATGGGTCTTACAAGACCTTCGACGAGGGAGTCAAGAAGGGAGTATTCATCAAGTCTGGAAACAAAAACAGAAATGGAAAGAATGATCCACTCGGAAAGGGCGGAGTCCTTTATGGTAAAGTCTGGCCTGGATATGCTGCATTCCCAGATTTCACTAATGAAAATACCAACAAGTGGTGGGTAGACATCATTAAAGAGTTCAATGAGAAGCTTGATTTCGATGGACTCTGGCTTGACATGAATGAAGTTGCCAACTTTTGCGTTGGACCATGCATTCCTGATGATATTGTGCCTTTCGAAGAATCTCTCAGATCAAAGATCACATACCAGCCTGGAGGAGTTGACATTGAAGAGAAAATGCTTTCAATTGATGGAGTCCATAAAGAGGGAACAGAATTAGACTACCATAGCTTGTTCGGATTCTTACAAGGAGTAGCCACACACAAATACTTTGCTGACAGAGGAGATAGACCATTTATCATCTCCAGAAGCACTTTCTCTGGACAAGGCAAATGGACTTCTCACTGGAATGGAGACAACCATGCCACTTTCGACTACCTTAAAGCCTCAGTAACTGGAATCATCAACATGAACATCTACGGAATGAACTTCAATGGAGCTGACATTTGTGGTTTCCTCGAGGACACGAACACAGAGTTGTGTGAGAAGTGGACTAATGTTGGAGCTTTCTATCCATTCTCAAGAAATCACAATGACATTCATACCATTGATCAGGAGCCATACAGGTATGAAGGAGATGTTAAAAATAATATGAGAAATGCAATTAGATGGAGATACCCATTCCTGAGATACTTCTACACACAGCTCTACTTGAACCATAAGAATGGAGGTACTTTCTGGAAGCCTCTGTTCTTCGAATTCCCAGATGAAGATCTTGCTTACACTGAAATTGAAAAGAATGTTATGATTGGTAGTGCTCTCAAGCTCAACCCAATGCTTGACGAAGGAACTACCAAGACTCAGTCATTCTTGTTCCCAGCCGGTGTTTGGTGCAATGTGCTTGATTACTCATGCTTGAAAGTCAAGAAGACTAGCTCCCAGAACTTGAATGTCCAGCCAAACAACTTGAACTTGCACCTTAGAATGGGCCACATCATTCCATTACAAAGAAGCGCCGTTGAGAAGCATGTGAACACCACTGTTGACTTGAACGAACTCCCAATGGGAATTATGATTAACATGGACACCAACACCAAGAAGGCAACTGGAGATTTCTATGCTGACGAAGGTACTAAGCTAAACGATCCTGACTTCACTCATTCAATCATGGACTTTGAGTTTGATGGCACAGAGGCCACTCTGACCTTCAACCAGCAAAAATCTGGCTACATTGCACCTTACACTAAGCTTGGTCTCATCGAAATCGTTGGAGCCAAGAACGCAGGACTCAACAAGCTCCTAAAGGTAGTTTCAGGTGCTACCGAAGTTACTGGAAATTATGACTCCAAACATGATCTTCTTACTTTCAGATTTGAGGAATCTCTCGGTAAGTTTTTCTTTTCACACTCTAATTTTTATAGAAATATCAACATTGTCAAAAGTAAAGTTCACCAAATAATTTTGCTAAGACATTTCAGCCGAATTTTCATAAGTCGGGGTTTTGGGGTTTTGGGGTTTTGGGGTTTTGGGGTTTTGGGG